GCATGTGTATGTATATAGTCTTACGTTTTCTACTTTTGATTTGATCATGTCCCCACTAATTGCTCACTGACTGTTAGTCAGCTAACGATTTTCCAGTTCTTCATGTAATTAGGTAACCCATTAGCTCCTAAACAGTCCCTTCTTTTACACTGATTTTCGTTTGTTGTCACTGCAACCCACAGTTTCAGAATTCTATATCTCATCAGATGTAAATTGTCATCGATTTTGACTAAGATTTATGAAGATTAATCCAGTGTTTCCTTGACTCACTACCTTATTGTTAATCCTGGATTTCAAACCTCCATTTATTTCTACAAACTTGAAGTGTGTTATGTTATTATCACTAATAGTAATTCATTTCAATTGCAGGCTTTTTGCATCTGATAAGCTCATTTTATTCTCCAAATGTCTTAGTTCTTGCCTTATTCGAACATAAATTTACTTTGCTGACAAACTGAAACCATTTAGTACAACGCAACTACTGCTAACTTATTATGCATAAATAAAACAATGATTTAAACAATGGTTCTTGAAAGAAGAACATTGAATACGACTCCATACATTCATTAGTATATCAGTGTTTGCATATGAAAACATATTCATGCAGCGTTTGCGCTTAGAAATGTAAATTCTGCTAGAAAATCCTAGCTACAAGATAAAAATATGTCAATCAACTCATAGGAAGAAATCATATCACAGATCCTTCCTAGCTGAATAACTTAATCAACTGTTACGTGTAGCGCTGGTATATGATGATACTAACTTCAAAAATCATAATTCCTATGACTAAACCGTGAGTGAACTACTCAAAAATGAGGTTTTGACTAGACATTAAGCTTAGCAATAATAAATAACATGAGGTTTCAAATATTCCAGAAATACTTTCTATTATTACAGCTTTTAGATCACAAACAGAAATAAAAAGTTGCATAAAGCAGCGAACCTGGAAACATATGAAAGTAGTATGATGCATAACTTTGCCTTCCTGAAACATTTCGTTCTAAATAACTACGTAACAAATGCATGGTTTTCTCAAACGCTTTTAAGGCAAAGAGCAAATAATGAGATGGAAAGATTTCACCTCTTTGGTTCATCCGAATAGCCCCCATAGACAGTTATCAGTAATATGCGTGGGGTGGACTGCTTCCTGAGAAAAAGACCCAAAGTTTTTTGCTGCATGACTTACAAAAAAAAATGAACTGCATCAGTCCGTTCAATTTCTGCAAAATGACTTGGAATAAGTATTTTGTCTAGAAGGCTTGAAATTCTTGTATGTGTTTACCAGATGACCGTACTAGATGAGCTGAAATTCATGAATCATTGTTAAGTCTAACATCTGTTCCATTAAGGTACTATTCACTACTGCTTAATTTGGAGATTCATTTGGAAAACCAATGGAAAATAAGATGTAATGATTGGTTCTAGTTGAGGCTTCTCGGAAGTGCACCCCAACGATTTCCCGAAGGGACAAACCTAAACCCATCAGGTTTCACGGCAACCGTGTTAGTATTTTTTAGCCACCGAAATGGAATTCAGTGCTTAATACTTTTCTGTTTCTTCTAATTTTTAAAATCATCCAGTGCCATTGACGATTATTCGTCCTTTCATCTGACCCATGGTTGACCTACCAGAACTTCAGAAAATCCATCTGAAAGCAGCTTAACAGTAAGATAAACACACATATGTACCCAAAACAATTTCACTGGGTTTCACGGTGGTTCACAAGCCCTAACAGTATCATTTGTCATCATCATTATCATCATCCATTAACATAGAACCAGGCATTACTGCGTAACGGTTCGAGTTGCCACGGCTCATATCAGTACACCAAGTAAAGAGGTAGGGAAGTAGATAAAGAAAAGAAAATCCAGTCAAATGAAATATAAAGTACTAAAAGAGGGAAAGAAAGAATAAGAAAATGGTGAGATTCGGTATAATGTTAAGATGAGGATAATGTGTGTATACATCTGCGCCACTAACTTCGGTTCTGAGGCGTATCGCCTAGAATCTACAACCGCTTGTTTCTCTTGTCCCACGGGCCCCAACCAGCTAGTCTACATAGCCTCACATGGCTCAAACCAACAGTCAGACACTTCATACATTGATGCCAAGTTTCAATCTGGTCACGTCAGGTCTTTTTCTTGCCCGCACCTACTTCGGTCAACATTGTGACGAGGCAATCGGCGACTAGGCATATATAACACGTATCATCTTTGTAGATGAAGGTTCACAACCATCTCAACTGATTTACCTCTTCTCCCTAAAACTCTGCGTTACTCACTTGGTGACACCACGGAATACGGCCTATGCTACGAAGGCAGCGGTGGCCAAACACCTGAAGCCATCTTTCTCATGTCCTCCACTCTCCGTGGTCATGTTTCAAAGCCACACAGTAGAACAAACCGGACTGCTGTGGAGTACACGCGACCCTTAATAAACAATCGGATGTCACGGCGGCGCCATAAGTGAAGTAAGTTGGCGAAAGCCAGCCACGCCTTTTGTATTCGTGCGGAAATTTTGTCGGCCACTGAGTCACCAGGCCTGATCCTGATCCCAGGCAGTATTGCATAACAAAAGCGAAAACATTCCTATTTCGCAGTCTCTCCTAAAAGATACGATGCTTGACCAATTGTCATGGTGAAGAAGGGACTGAATAAGCCCCTAAGTCATTCCTCTACTTACAGTTTCGTCATAGTTTAGGTAGGTACAAATCAACCATTTCAGGTAACCCCTAAAGTGTATATCAGCTTATCTCTTTCTTACTAAGAAAAATATGACAACAACACAGATGTGGATCATTTTGAGTACACTTAAATATCTTACAAAGAGTACTGGATTCAAAGATACGGTTTTTTTACAGGTGAAATCATTTCTTTCTATACATGTAACGTAAATTCCACATGTTTTTTTAAATGAAAAAAGAGATGAACCCGAATTAGCCACAGTTGTATGAAATGATTTTCATTAAACAACGGATACTTATGTTTATGTTAAAAAGTAGTGATTTCCTGATAATTTACAGTCATCTAAATTTTATCTGATATTTACTTATACAGCAGTATCATTTCTCACTCCCTGTTTTTCTTAATAATTGATTTCACACCCATATGCTCGTTGACTGATTCCTACTCATTATTATCTAAGCTAGAGTAATTTTAGTTTTTTTATGATGTGTGATAGCGCATTTTATGGCGCCAAAGTTTTACTTTTATCAAGTTTTACATTCAATCCCCTCTATCCTACTAGAATACATATTTATTCGTTCTATAAACTAACAATCGTAATATGCAATTCTAATGACTTCGTTTATCTAAAATCCCCTCGCTTTTATAATATCGAGATAATGCTATCTACTTACTTAGTCAACATATTTTGCTACCCTGATTCTAACACATAAACATTACTTAGGAATCCCGATAAATAAAGTGTTTTAAGTTATACGCAACTGATTGAGAATGCTGTTTTCTGATGAAAACAAGGTAACATGGAAAAAACTTTACCTGAATACTAGAAATACCTCTGTATGAAATAGTTAATCCTCTCTAACTTAAAAACGTTGTACACAATTTGACAACTATGTGTTTTGTTACTTTGATCATAACCGAGCAAATTGTCGCCAACTTAAGGAAACCATTGATAGCCCATTAATAATTACCACCAAAATATCATTTTATTCAGTTAGTAATTCAACTGAATACCTAACTGCCGGGAAAAGTTTTTAGACGAATGGTAGGTTTTTACTGTGTTTCTGCATAAAAAAAGCTTGAAAATTCAGCGATACCGTAAGTTTGGTTCACGATTTACAGGCCAGTGAAAACGAAATAAATCGCCAATTAGGCCTGGTCTAGAACAACACTCATTTCTATTTCCGTTCTCAGGTAACCGGGATACCCTGTAACTGTTGTTTTTGCATGATGGACAGTAACGCAAACGAATTCTTTCAACAATAACAAAAAAAGGAGATTTATTTTGATACACGCGGGGCATTCCATTTACCATTAAATTATTAGGATATATCGCACATAGCAAAATATGTTAATTAAATGGCAAGATATGAATCTGATACACCATGTAACAGGCTAAATGGTATTTCACTGATTTGACTTACACGTTACAAGCATTGAATCTGATATGTAGCAATACAGCTAATCGCATGCCTATAAAACAGTTTCGACATTGATTGATACTTCGAAAATTATTATCAGATAAGCAAACAGTTCAGAAAGTGCGCAGCAGAATGATAGACTGTCCCAATAAAAATGTGTTTTTATATTTTAGTAAATTTTAACTATTATTATTACTATTATAATGATAATTACAAGTTTTTGTCAATATTTATGTTGGATAGTGAAGTCAAAAATAGACTTTCCACTAACAGAATTACAGCAATTGTCAAATTATCAGATATTTTAGCATCAAAACAAAGCTTCGATAAATCAGCTCACTTGTATTTCATCATCCTTTTTTCTCGGATAGAGCGTGAATTAGCTTAGATGGTTATCCTAAAGATTTGTCGATGATAGGATAGTTCATTAGATGGTTGTTAGTGAAAATTCATCATTACTGACATACCTTGCTGTTCATATTTCATCACGTATGATTATTTCAGTTACCAAATTGTTCCCTACTAAATTTTAAATGTATCAACTGAATATTTACTGTTTTTTATTCAAGCTTTGCTACTAATTGTTTAACAGGCAGACATTAATCAAATTTTAGTAGTGCAATTTAAAGTACTTCTTTTATGAACCTGGTAAGAAAAGTGGAATATGTATCACACAGATAATGTCCTGTTTTCGAGTTATCGAACTGAAATCAAATTAATTATTCTTTGTTTACTATCAACGAGCTACTCCATAGACTTCATATTACTCATAGTTACGTTTAGAATCATTTATAGTTTCATCAGGATATTTATTCCTTGTTTTGTTAAGTTTGAATGTGTATTTTAATTTCCTAGAACGATTGTTAATATTATGCCTTATCTTGTATTGAAACAGCTCCGCCAAGAGGATTTCCAAAAGTCCATCAAGATCCATCTGCTACTATAAGTCAAGTTGGTGATTCAACACATTTACAGTGCGATGTTTCAGCTGAACCTCCTGCTACAGTCTATTGGATCAAAGATCAGTTTGAATTGATCGATACAAGTCTTCCAAGATTTCGGATTGTTGGTAGGTTTGACTTTTCTGAAGTCATTGATGCATTCCCTTTAGTGCTTGACTTAAAACACTAAATTGGGATATCATGAACTCCATATCTTTTTCTCAGAGTTCATCATTCCTTACTCATAACTAATTATCTTGTGTTGTTTTTCCATTCATTTGTTAAAGCAATAACCAACACATCGACAAGTTTATTATTATTTTTGTCCTTTGGGTTCCTAGTGGAACATAGGGCTTCAGTAACACGTCTCCAGTGAACTCTGTTCTCTGAAATCTTTTCAACCTGGCTCCATGACAGCCCACAAGCTCTCATTTCTTCCTCACACAATCTCCTCCATGTCACCCTCTACTCAGACGCTCAACTTGCCGCTTCCCATCTGAGTTCCACTCGAGTGACTGGCGCGTGATTTCCCGAATGGTCTTCTCAGTGTATGCCCAATCCATCTTCACTTCATTCTGCATGTTTGTTGAGTGATAGGTTCTTGGTTGGTTCGTTGCCAGAGTTCCTTGTTGCTTATTCTTATTATTCGGGCCATCCGAGCTTCAGTTATGAGCATAGGCAGTTGTTGATGAATATGAATATGAACGACAGGTTACTTTACATAAAAATGCATCTTAAAAGTAACTTTCATTTCAGTAAAAGTGTTCAAGATTCACTAACAGAATGCAAATAAACCTCTGGTCCTCAGACCCTTTCACTAAGAACATATGAGATCCTCACGGTCTTCCACGAGTTAAGTACATTCAACTATGAAAATTAACAAAACAATACACAAGGTAGTTATGGTTTTGTAGACCTGCATTATTGACAGACGGTGATGATAGGTGGCAAATATGTTATGTTTTTACAAGTTGGTATTCATCATAGAGTTACATCAGTTAGAGGAACATTGGAAGCCTAAGAGCTCCTTCGTCCTAGTCTGGGACTCTTCAGTAGTATGCACCCACAACCCGCCATGTCGGGGATCGAACCCCTAGCCTTCAAGTTCCGTGTCCATCACGTCACCAATGACCCACTGAATCGAAAGCCCGTGTTCCATATTTCCTGCTTCCGATGGTTCACGACATAGCGCGACCACCACCGAATGTCATCACTAAGTATTAACCCTTATGACCACCAGGTTTGCCCCACCGGTCACGACTTCTTATTGGAACTTCTGGAGTCACCTCTCCAAGCTAGTCACCAATGAGCACTAGATAAATTAAGTTTGAGGTTTGTGGGAACTGAAGTTAGTCCAAGATAAATACCAACTTGAAAAATCACTAAATCCCCACAAATACCTAAATTAAATAGAAAGTTATGTATCCCATCACACTTGGAGAAATCCTGAATGATTGGAGTGACATCAAGATCCGACCAACGGGTCTCTTATTTCAGCTGGCAGAGAACTGGGTCGGTAATACTGAGACCTCTGGTTAGAAGAAACAGCATTTGCGATAAAAACGATGTTGTTTCTTTTCTAGGAACAAGAAACTTATTCGCTGAAGCTTCTAAAAACGTTTCTTATTATTACGTAAACGCGAAAACCTCTAGGCGGTTGAAGAGGGAATTAGGTCAGTACTTCAAAGCGAATCTCACTATGACTGAAAGCGAATAAAAACAGGATTAAAATTTTTGCCATGAAAACCAAAATACGTTTTTTAAGGATCACTAAACAATTTTCCTATCCTTTTATAAGAAAAAGTGCAAAATTATAATTCTAAAAGTCATTCAAGACTGTTTACTGTTGATACAAATCTTCCCCTTTGACAAATGTAAATAAAACAAAAAGAAAAATAGCGGCAGAATCAGGGTGCATGTATTCTGTGAACCTTCTTCAGTTGCTATATTAGCCTTAGAATTTAATTTTTATGAGAAAGAAACATGTCATGGAGTAAACCTTCATAAACCGGAAAGAATTAAAAAATTAAAAGTCATGAGGTCATTTTGTGTTGACAAATTCTGAAGATTAAAATTATCACAGTAAGGAGAGATTGACGACAGGATCCTTCTGAATGCATAGATCAGAGCTGGATCTTTTAATTGCAATTGACTCATCAAACTCCGAAAAATTGGGCTTTAGTTGTTTATTGATCGTTTTCAATGATTTTGGTGCTTTGACTTTATGTCTAGCTTCAAGTAAAAGCCAAGCAATTAAACTATTTAAACCCTGTGAACCTTTAAGACTAAAATTCTGTGAGATATTTTAGCAAGTGACGACGAAATCCTTTGTCTTTTTCCTTTAAGTGAGCGTGTTTTGGTATGTTAGTGTGAATTGCAAGATACAGTTGAAGGTGACAAGAGTTGATAACTTGTCGGCTTTGGATTTTATCAGTGAGCAGTTAGTCTAATGCACACAGACTTAGTGGCTGGGTGATCCCTTTTAGTGAGACACTGAGTCTATGGCTCATCAGCTTAGTGATATCATTCCCTTTGAAGACAACGCTTAGATAAACAGGCTTTTATCGAGTTGTTCCGCACTTGATTTCCTACGTTTCTCTTGTGCTGTGATTATCAGGGAACTTTTTCGTCAAAAGTCACTTCTTCCTCACTTTTCTTCTCAAAGTACGGTTTACGCATAGGCTTGAAAAATGTTCTTACCAAACATTTTTTATAATTGATTGGGCAAAAACTGTTGAAGTTTAAGTTTCTTTCCCTAGAATAGATCTATGGAACTTCCCATTTTTAGGACCTTGTAGAATAAAGTTTGTAATTATATTCAGTTTCTAATATGGACGCTATATTGCGATACACTTCTCGTCAATTTATCAAAGTGCATTGTCTAACATATCCTTTTTACCATAGACATTATAGTCTACAAGTTGAGAAACAGCCGAAGAGAACTCTCGAAACACATGCATGCTGATTCTGATAGTACTGTTGTTGATCTTCGGACCCTGAGTATGAACAATTTTTGTTTCCCTTCGTAAAAATTATCAGTTCTCATTTGATTTTCTAGTTATCATGATTGCTTTCACCCTTCTAGTATCGCTTACTTTTGCAACCTTCTTTTTAAAGTCATCATACGTATTCATGTTGCTTTTTGATCAATTTTAGGATCTGGATCTCTTGTAATTGAAACTCTGCTTGAAACGGATTCTGGCGCTTATGAGTGCATGGCACGCAATGAAGTAGGGACAGTGTTAAGTAATTCAGGTCATTTGCATGTTAGACGTAAGTTTATCTTCGTGAAGAAAATGTCCATGTTTTTTTCCTAGTTCTTTCAAAATCGAGTATTTGATTTAGATTAATGATCAGAATTAAAACGCACCATTTTCAAAATATGATTAGGTTGCATAATAAACTTCTTTTATATCCTGTCAACTATGTGTTAAGCCATAATTTTTGAATAAATTTACTTCAGGCACATGTGCAACTCATTATCTTCGTGTTCCTGAGAAGTTATCATCAGTAGCCCTCAGTTAACAAGATCCACTAACTAATTCAAAGTTAACTGGAAAATATGTATTAATAACACACAGTTGATGCACTCCTATGACTACCTACAGAATTCATGGATGAAACCATTAAACTTGACGAGTGGTCACTTCAGAGCAACCAACCGATCATTTTGCAATATGGCCACCGGGCTAGGAACCGCGTCTGGTCAACGAGCTCACTAGTCACTAGCCGGTCCTAAGACAGAATAAAGAGGGAGATTGGGCATAGGGCTAGCAACTGAACCCCGAAAAATCAATCCAGTCGCTGAAGAAACTTCAAAGTACAAAGAAAATATAAAAAGCAGAAATAAACTTATTCCTCCCTGGAATTGCGGAGGCGGAATGACGCTGGTTGGTGAAAGCCTTCGGGAAGCCAATTAGCCGATGTGTATTCTCTCAGTGTAAGTTAAAGCAAAAATGGAGGCTTGGAATGTCCGCGCCATGTTTGAACCTAGTAAGGCTGACCAGATTGAAAAAGAGATGGGGAGGTATGCCATAGATGTGCTAGGAATCTGCGAAAGCAGGTGGAATGAAAGTGGACTCTCCAAACTGTCAACGACAGAGTCAATAATCTACTCTGATATTGTCCCCAGACGACAACCACAAGCACACTGTTTTTGAGTGGCTATGATGATGTCATCAAGAGCACCAAAGGCTCTCATGCAATGGGAACCAATCTCCTCCGGGATCATGACAGCTAGGTAGCCTTGTCAAACTTCCTTGACTAACCTGAAATCAGTATGGAGATCTACTGCACTCAGCCTAAAGCCTGAACAAGATCTGGATTTTCAACACTCACGTCAAGTCAGTGCCTTATATGGTTCAGAAACTTAGCACGTTACAACAAGCATTTCCAACAAACTACAGACATTCATCAACAGCTGCCGCCTACGCTCACTCGATACTGAAGATCAGATGGATGGCCACAATAATTGGAATAAGCAACAAGCAACTCTGGGTGGCAACGAAGCAATCAAGAACCTATCGAGCAACAAATATGCAGGAGAAAGTGGAGATAGATTGGGCATATACTGAGAAAACCATTCAGGGACATCACGCACCAGACCAGTCCGTCGAGTGGAACCCGCATGGGAAACGACGAGTTGGGTGTCCCATGCGAGAGTCACATGGAGGAGATGGTGTGGGGTAGAAATGAAAGCTTGTGGGGAGTTGTGGAGCCAGGTTGAAAAGACTGCAGAGAACAGAGTGGACCCAAGCGACAAATAATGATAAACCAGGCTAGGAGAACTCAACATCATGTTGTACTTTGACAGGTGTCAATTGGATGAAGGCAGTTGGTAAGAATGTCTCTTGCTTGCCCTAGGTTTCGTGCTTGTTTGCACTCATCAGTAATGCGTACCCACAACCTCAACAGAGTTGATGTCCCACCCGAGATTCCAGCCCGTACCACTCCACATGGTTACCACTAAGTTATTTGAGCTGTGGCTGACCTCCTGTATGACTGAATTATATACACTGATCGATCACTGTTGGGCAACTAACTTCATGCTGTCTAGTCCTATAGGCTGATCGAATTCTACGGATCATTTTGCAATATGACCACAGTCAGACCACTCAGCTTCACAATGCACTTTGATAAATGTTAGTTGTCTGAAGGTAGTAAGCATGAAGCCCTGGACCTAGGTTTCGTACATTTAGGCACTCGTCAGGATTTAACTAATGAGAATATGCTTATGATAAATTCCTTTCAGATTTCAAACCAATTCCTAATTGTTAATTCATTGTACTTTTATTGTTTCAAGTTTTAAGACTTAAGATGCTTCGTCGAGAAGATGGTATAGTTAACTTAAATCTTTCAAAGGGTAGAAATATCTCATTAAAAAGCAAAAAGTCGTCGACTGACAATCAATTCAATTTTAGAAACAGAATTCATTGATTGTAATTTGATAGTTTACAGTAATAAGATTGATCAATAAAAAAACTGTAGGTTTGAAGGACATGTTTTCCCAGCGGGAAACATGATGCTTATTAGAAAATGAAACCATATATTGTGTTTTTCTTCTGAGCAATACTATGATGTTTAATAATCCCAAAGAAAACCAACAAAATAAGCAGGACAGAGGAGGTATATTGAATCTTTGTTTGAACGCTCTAAGCTGTTGAGAGTATAAGGTTACTGTGGATGTAGTTTAAAGGATAGTTGCGTCATTTGACAAACAACTAAAGAAATATTATGTAGTGTCACGCCTTAGTTGCCACTTTTTACGCGTCAGCTTCTTAGATATCTCATTCGGCAGGACATTAAGAAACAACATCGTTTCAGTGTCATATAGATGAAACATACCCCTCAACTGCTAGTATCCTTACCTTACATATGAAATATGGTCAGCATCACATAGATTAAAGATCACCTACCTTCAAGAGTCAGAAAAATTCTGTAACATTATTTACAGCATAGAAAAAAATCAAGGGCTATCAGTGAATGAGCTGAACGTTAAGATAGAAAACTGCACTCAAAACTGAGCTTTAAAAACTTTACCAATAAAAACTACAGTTAATCATCAACCGAAAACTCAAACAGCTAACAAATTGTGTAGGATAGTATTTTCAATAGACAAAAAGTCACTGTTACGTTAGGGCATCTGTGGTTTTGAATGACAATAACGGTTAGTTTCAAAAGTGGTTAGGTAGAAGCGAAACCACTTTAAAAAGGAATAGATCAATAGTCTTGTGAGGGTAATCTTGTGGCTGAAAAGCCACATTAAGTTTACAACTATTGTATGCTAGTTTAAAAATCCAGCAGATATATGTGATTCGCAAAGGATACTGCTTTATGCCAAACTGTGAAATGTATGATGTCATTATTTTTTACCAGAGGTTTATTATTCGGTGTAAGATACTTTTTTATGATCCATCTAAACACACTCTACACCTCTTTGATACTATCCTGCCAATGATTTCAAATTTAGCCTGAGGATCATGTGTATATCCTGGCCTCAATTCAGTCAGTGATAACAGAAGCCTCGGAAACAAGACTATCTAACATCTAAAGTGCTTTGTTGTTCTTCCACACTATATTAACCTTCCTTGTATATTAGATCTGTTTAACTCACTTTACTGCATTCCTGATTTCTGTTTGGCACTGTCAAAAGTTTTAATGATAACATGTTGTCAATTTTGAGTTATTTTATTTCATTCGATTAAGAATTTGAAAATTGCAAAGTAACAATTCCATAATGGTCAGATTCATCAGTGTAATGGTGTATGGAGGTGACCTTCAGCCGTTTGGTCAAGGTTTTAAATGCCACTTCACCTACCGTGGTTTGGATAGCCAAGTAGTACTCTTATTAGCCTTCGCATGATTGGTACGGCTTACTGTACAATGCTTCTGAGTGAATTTCAATTTTCAACGTGTGCATACATTTATATATTTAAGCCTAAGATACAAGATTTGCTGTCGAGTAGTTGAAATTTCAAAACTAACATCACAAACCATCAAAATAGTAACACAACTGCTTCCATATAAATGTTTTTCTTCTTTTGCCCACCTGAATACAAACAGACTTGATAGAAAAGTACATTAACCTTCTTGCATAAACACATTCATTCATTGTAAGGAGAGGACAACAACCAGTTCCTCTGAAGTTGGCCTATCAAATTTGATATTGATAAGCTTTTTATAGATTAGTACTTTAAAGTGATGTTAGAAATGTAACTTTGTGAAAAGTTTCACTAGTTTACTTTGCAGAAAATTCATTTCCGTTTTTTCTATACAGATAATCTTACAATTGCTTATCATTTTCTTCAACAAAGAGGCAAGTTTCTAGCAATAACTACCTACTTATGTCTAGTGTGTATACATATTTGCATAGCTATTATATTTTATCAGGCCTGTAGCACACTTGGTTTACTAGTGTTAGGGAAATAAACAAAGCCATCTTCGGTGATTTGACAGTTTCTAGTGGAGCGAAGATTTTTTTTCCTGAACTTGAAGGTGGCTTTTTCAAATTGCAATCAGTTAGACGAACCCGTGTTTAAGGGGTTTTATTCTTGAGGTTCACAAAGAAAAAAGATAAATAACTATCCACAAACAGAGCTATCCTTCACCTAGGGTCCCCGTATTGGATTGTAGACATTGGAATTTCAACCTCATCAATAATTGGTACTAAAAAAGCATAGACTAGTTTTTTCTCCATGCAGTCTGAGAGTTTGTAGTCCTATCTTCATTAGAAATCTTCATTTATATCCAAATGCTTGGAGGAGTTTATTTAGGAAAGGAAAAACTGATCAGTATTGCGCCACTTTTCATTATGAACCATCGCTACGCGACCGAATAACTTGTGAACCTTTATCATTCAGCAGAATTTGGCTAGATATTCCTCCATTTCATACTATGGAGTCTTAACGGAAAAAATTTCATAATATCATGAAATTTTGTACAGGATTCATTGTTGATATGAATTCTTATTGAGGCGATTTCGATGAACAATCTATAGTAATGTTTCAAAGTAGAGGCAAAAGCCTAATTCTTCGCAAACAACGCTGAGAATGTCAAGTCACCTACATCAACTGAGATTACAGTGTAACCACAGTCCTTCTGAAATAGTAATGATAACAGTCACAATAACTTATTGTAAACAGTGCAGAAGGAGTCGCTCAATATTTTATTGCACTACCATTATTCGCTGTAATATACCTTTGCATGAGAATGGTTCAAAGCACAAATGAAAAAAGTATCACAACAGCTGGAATGATTGTTTGCACGTATTTATATTTATTATGTTGGGTGATATATATATACAAGAATTAGAAAAATGCTAATGCAGGGTGAAAAAGCTTGCGCTGCTTGTTTGCTTGCCTGTTTGCTTGTCTTTTTTTCTTCTAAAACGTCGGCAATGCACCACTTTCAATAAATACCTTAAATTATTAGTAATATCTTAGTGTGGATGCCTTCTTTTCTATTTTTAATGCATATTCAATTATAGGTATCCAGTTCCCACCAACAATCAATGAAATGCCCGAGAAAGTTGAAGTATCTCCCGGAAAGGGGACAAACCTAACTTGTCGAGCGGGAGGATTTCCAATACCTATGGTTTGGTGGTCAACATTGGGTACACCAGCTGGACCAAGACACTCAGAACCAATTATGCTTGCTGAACGTGCATTAACTGAACCACAACCTCATGAAGCAACATTACGTTTGACGGATATCACAGAGTCATCTGGTTATAACTGTATTGCCAAAAACGGTCTTGGCTTAGTACGACGAAATGTCAGCGTAATTGTAAGGCGTAAGTTGACAACCCATGCATGAAGCTCTGCCATTCGCTCTGCATATATTTCTGACTTTGTTTGCACCTTAAGGATTCTTTAAACTATCAACCAAATTTTATTTCACAGTGGCTGACAACTGTTGAGTATTAAATAATTGCTCACTGAGAGTTTAGAAAACCTCGAAGAAAACAGTTATGAACACTTAGTCTAGGACATTAAAATATGGCAACTTTGAAACCGAAGGTAGCTCATTCAGTTAAAACTGAATGACTGTCGGATTCCAGCCTAATCCACTTAGTTATATAGACCCAGCTTTTATCTCATATCTCTCCTTACTTTTTTTGACCCAGTTATGAACATTTCACATCTCATGTGGTAATATAAAAAATGCATTGGCCTGATAAGAGTTAGACAGTACCTGTTGCCTAAACAGTAACTTATTCGTGGCTTGATACCACTTACTCAGCTTTGTTCTTTGTTAATTTCACCGTTCAAAGAATCTTGGTTTGGTGTAAAGGTTGAAATGAGACAAGGAAAAAGTGTTACGAGAGGCTTAAAGTTTCCATTGTTGGTGTAAAGCAGTGAATTAGTTAGTCTTGGCTCTCAAAGGTTTCCCCTCTCAGGAACATCTGCAACTTTCCACTTGGTGTCACTTCGTGGTGTAAGGCGACGAACGCCGACTTTGCTTTTTTTCAGTATACCTTACCTGCCTTCTCCTCTCTAGAAATTCTAGCATGACTTGAGCTTGACATAACTTGCTACATATACCAAGCTTTTGTCCATTGGACTACTAAAATGAATACCAATGTGCCCAATATACAAACCGAGACTAATTGCTCTAGCCTCGCTGACCGCCACTATCATAGAACAAAGGATGCTTGTCACAACATAAGCGTTTAAAATTTAAGTTGTTTTGAGATTCCAAGGTTAAAAGGTAGAGGCGTAATAAAAAGGTTGTTCGAATTGACGATAATCAGTGTCTGAAATCTCCATATCTAACGATAAAGCATATTTTATCCACTTATTTTCATATAAACAGAATTATTGTAAAAGTCCTTTGTTTTCAAGCATTTAAAATTAAGGTCGCATCGTGACTGCTTAAATCTCTCTCACTCTATTTACTGATTATTTCGTCCGCTTTTCAGAGCTGCCTGCTCCACCATCAAGTTTAGATGCACGACCTATTGGTGGAACTTATGCTGTACTCAGATGGCCTCCAAGTATATCATCTGGAGTTGATTCATACACAGTCAGTCTACAAGTTAATAATGGTGACTTAGGTGAACTTGGACGCCGTCAGATCACAAATATTGATCCATCTGAAATGAAATCAGAAATTTCACCCAGTCTGCTAGATATAACATATTCCAAGGAAAATCCTATGATCACATACAATCTTACTGAATTGAATCCATACACTTCATACACAGCTCAAGTACATGCTGTCAGCAGGGTGGCTGGTTTATCTCTACCCAGTGATTCTGTGAAGTTTAGAACAGCAGAACTAGGTAAGCCTCTATCAGCTGAGCTATGTGGTGTTTTGGAAGAAGTGAATTTATTCGATTTTAAAATTTTAACAGTATTTTTTTTCTTGTAAATATCTCACATTGTTATAAGCATCATGAAGTCATCCAGAGCACTGTTATCTTTCTATCGGCGGTCTGTCTCATCTTGGGTAGACATAAGAGCGAATTAAGCCCTTTATAGTCTTAATTTTATAACGAAATGACCAAATCCACATCCTGGACACCACTAATAATCACTATCCATCAATGTTATATAGACAAGGTTAGCAATGTAAGTTACCCCCTCTCCCTAAATTGAACACTAAATTAAATGCAACCACAAGAAGTTCTTCATCATAAATCGAAAAAAGCACTACCATTTTGTGCTTTCTCCGCGGAAACTTAATTTTATTACGATTAAAAGGTTGTGTGCTGAATTTATCTAACTTTGCATTAGTTAACCAATCCACCTACATCAAATATGACTAACTTTCTCAAACATCTGAAGCTGCATTTACCAGAAAAATGTTCAATTTAGTCTGAATCTGGAAATGGCTATAACATGTGTTTCTGATCACCCTATGCACCCAACATATTCAGCTTCCTACAAAGTAAACCACAAGGTTGGTCATTAGTGTTTTCATAACTTATCTAGGCTTGAAAGGCTAACATTCCAGGCTTGAGAAGCAATATTGCGTATTCAAAAACACTTTTTTGAAACATCATTCCTTATATTGGTTCTAATGGTATACGCTATTGCTGACCTCACTTGGTTTATACTTCGAGATGATATTCATCAAGGACAGACATCAGTTGGAGATCCATTGAAAACCTGGGAGAGCTGGACAGTTGTTTCATCCTTGTATAGGAATCCATCATGGTTCCATGCTCAGCAAGTTTGTTTTGAGCCGATGTATCAAGATCCAGTGGTCTACATTTCCGGCCTCTATCAGTTCATGAGATAGCGTGACCCCCCACTTAGTGATATCGTTGCGTAACTGTCCTCTCATCCGACTTGGTTGAGCCCGTCATCTGGAAGTACATCACTGTTAGGCAAGGACATAAGGACGGAACAGCTGTCGAGTGCTGCCAGGATTTTAATGATTCTTCAAGTGATGTCAGTTCAAGATGAATACCAATTCGAAATCAATAAACAAATTCCCACAAACCCCTAAACTGAACTACTTATATTTCTTCAATTGTTTTAATCATTGAGATTGTCATCATGAGTGCCTTTATTTTAAAACTAGTTTTGACAATATTTCACCACTGATATTTCTTTCTAGATCAGTCTTCCTATATGATTGACTTGGTTTTTTAGTTGTTGTATTCATGAGATAAACATGACTATCCAACACGTTAATGCATGCTGTTCAAAAAAACTTCACTTTCCTTCACTTAAAGCGTTAAATATACTTCCGGTGAAATTTTTCTTTATTGGGAATGCTGAAACACCATAATTTCATTATAACTGCAATTGTAATTTGCACTTTCAGAAATGGAAATTCCTTTTTTTGCATCAAAAAATAAACTGTAAATTACAGATGATGATTTCAAGTCTTCATGAAACGATTTTCAGATTTTAAAAAAGGGCTCATCATTATGTGTATTAAATTGTAGTCTCGTTCCATTCGGTGTGTCAATCAGATTCACCCTCAAAGTTAGACAACTTTCCGTAGAGCTAAATGAATCCTTTACAAGAAACAAGCAAATAATTTCTCACTTGAACCATGAACTTTGTCTCATTAGAAAGGAAGTTAAAGAGAAATTTGAGCCAGTGGGTCGAAATCCAGTGTTCCATATTTTCTACTTCTCTCAGTTCACGATATAGAGCGTCCTACAGCCAATGTCCTCGTTGAGTATTCATCATGCGTTGAAGTCAGTGTGAGAACCATTGGAAACCTGGGGACACTTGACAGCTGCTTCGTCCTAGTGTGGAATTCCTGAGCAGTGCGTATCCATGGCCCCGCCATCCAGGGATTGAACCTTCAGGGCCTGTGATCAGTTACTCACTGACAATGAGGATGTAGGTCGTACTATATGGTGAACTGATAGGAGTAGAAATATGGACCATTGGATTTTAACTTAGTGGCTCAACGGTAACGTGCTGGCCACGGGACCTGAAGTCCTGGGTTCGATCCCTGGCGGGATCGTGAGTGCGCACTGTTGAGGAGTCTCACACAAGGACGAGACAGGTTTATAGTGTCCCCAGGTTTTAAATGTTCCCCTAAATGATGTCACTCTATGGTGAATTCCAACCCAAAATCAATTGATAAGTCTCCACAAACCTCCAAATACAAATAATATCCCTTCATACTTCCTAATCTTGTAAACGGAATATGTGAGAAGTCATCCTATTTTACAGACAGCCTTTTGCACAAATGATGGCAATGAAATTCAACAGTTTGGGTTGCTTTTCTACCACAGTTCAGTTATATCTACATTCTTTGGGACCTGCTTCTAATTCTTTACAACCATTCAAAAACACTGGTATAGTTTGTTTGAAGTAAACCAATAGGAAGCCCTAGACGTAGGTCTCATGTTTGTTGATACTCGTCAGCAAGGTGTATCTTCAACTTTGAGGGAGCTGATGCCCCCTGTTAGCTTGGAATCCGCGTCACACAGTGTTGCAATGATGCATCTGACTTCCTGTAGGACTGGATTAGATCTACTGATCGGTCAGCGGAGAGCAGCCAGTCTCATGTTATCTATTTGTATGGTTTGATCGAAATCTATTGGTCATTTTGCAGTCATGTCACCGTGCTAGGAAGCTGGCCTTAGAAACCTCACTATAGCCTTTCCTATTCAGTAACGTTAAAGAGAAATTATGACACAACTTTATGTAGTAGACTACAATTTCATCTATCTACCAGGCTCAGTCACAATTATCCAAATTAGAAACTTCTTAGAAGTGTGTACTCCCTCACAACCTTCCTATAAGGTTAGTCTATGAATTTCAAAAGCTGAATTGTACACTTTAATCCTTCGATTGATTGTCGCTAAAGTCACTAGTTCAAATCTTTCGTCTTACTTAACCTTATTCTCCTCCACTGGTGTGTTACAATCAACGAATTTTCACAGGAAAATTAAATCCCCTTTCTTCGTATTGATCACTGATATAACAATAGTTACTTTTTTGAGTGACTTGTCGAAATCTATTAGTCACATCACATAGCCAATGGACAAAAGTCACAAAATCTAGACTACTGAATTCTAATCAGTGACAGAACAGTAATAGACGCGTCGTCATACCTCACCCTTTGAAAAGAGTCATCCTAGACAGAAACAGCACTCCATTGTTGTCCTATTCTGAATAGTGCTACTCTTGATGTCAACGTGCAATGGGAATACTTCAAATTGGTTATTAAGCCCTCAAAAATTAGCTTACCAGAAATCTCCGCTTCATTGAACCAAACATAAAATATTATCCTTCTTTTCACATACAAAATATAAATATATTGTTGTGTCAACAACATTATCTATCCAGTATATAAAAGTTTCACAATGACTAAAGCACTTATTATACATTCCACTGAGTACTAACTAAGGGGGATATAAATTAGATAATATAAATTGTTAGAAACTGCCAAAAATCAATACCCAGCTAATTAGATAATTCGAAATTAATCAATGCATATATAAGTGAATATATATATAATGCTGTGTCAGTAAATCAATCTACTAATCAATGATATTATAACTGCTATTATTACTATTATCGATATGATTATTATTTCTAATGGCCATTAGGCTTTCATTCCTTTTTCTTCCCTCAAATGATTAATTATTTAACAATTGATCATTATCATTAGTTCAACCAGTTATAAAGTATTCATCAATCCGATATGACAGTTGTCTTTTCTGTATTCTAGATGAAGTATTCCTCAACTGATTTATACAAAAACGCACAAGCGTATATATATATATATATATATATATATATATATATATATATAATATTGTGTAAGAGAGGTGAGGAAAGCAAAATAAAGGATAACAGTGAAAAGAATTACTTCATTATTCTGACAGTTACCGCATTCATTAACAAGAACTTTAGGCTACATGTGAATGGTCGCAAGATGTCTTCACTACATGCATGCCCAGGCAAACAAATTCACTGAGACGCATATACAAACTTGAACTAATTAGTTTGTAATTACATTTGAATGTGTGCATTTACTGTATATTATTATTATTAATTTTCATGCTAGTATGTATAGATTATTTATTCCTATCCGAAGCAAAAAGCTTCAGATGATATTTAACATATTGTCAACCTGACAATTTATGTAGAAATGTTTAATGTGTATACGATCGACTCTAAGAGTTGTATTGGTATGTAGCGCAGCTTTCATTCAATAGACAGAATATGCTTCGATCATTTTAATAGGAAATAAACTAAGTTAGAAACACACTTAATGAGATTTTCTTCGACATACTAGAAAGATGTGAACAAAAAAAGTAAGAGATGAACTGAGTTCACTCGAAGCTTGTGGGGTCATGATGTCTTGACCTTCACAGTCAACCAAGACGAATGTCTTTAGGCAGCCTTAGATAATGTTACTGTAAGAGAGAAACTTCAAATCTTTGTATTCATTTTGATCTTGGTGACTAGCACAGGAATCCAGGAGGCGCATTTCCTCCTATTTGTGAGTTGTAAACTGGATGTACCTGCACCCCAGTGAGTGATGTTGTTCCTAACCCATAACCCTTCGCTTCAAAGTATTATCTAATAAGCCAGTGGGTCATGATAGTCACCTCCTGTGCATTGGGTATCAACTGCTGTAATGATACTTGTAATTTATTGGCTTTCCAATAGATGTCAGTCTATGATGAGGACTTTCTGTCAACTGATTAATCTCCCGATTACCACTCAATTAAATGATAAAACAGGCGCTTGAGGTTGGTGGGAATTTTATCTTTGTCGCAGCATTCATCATGCACTGATATCACCTTGAGAACCATTGAAATCTAACAAATGACAATAGTATAGTAATTGCCAA